GAATTTTTATCAGCATTTAATGTGTATTAAATAATGTGATAACTATAATAATATATAATAATATAATTATATTGCATAATAGTGCAATAAATAACGTGCTCAATAATAAAATAATTTGCATATTAAACAAGTCATTTTCTCACATAGTAGAGGTAGCTGTTCCCAAAAGCCACTATACAATTGTATGCTTCAATCAGCTGGCGGAAGGTTTCATCCTCTAGGGAGAAACGATGTCCAAAAACCACAGCACAGATCACGTTAGAGACAGCGTGAACAATGGGGAAGGAAGGGTCGACAGCTCTTCCTGCAGACAGAGACAAGCATTCATCTCCAAAGCACTTCCTCTATCTCCTTTGCTATTTTGGAAGCAAGATCACAATGACATTTTATAATAGATGTCTTCTATGCTATTTAGACTGTTACACTCCAACACCCAAAATTCACTGGCAAACATAACAAAAGATAAACCTCATTCAAAAATGAGGACAGGAAGGCCTCAAGTCATTAACTCCCAGCCTTGGTTTTTTTGTTTGCCTTCTTTTTTCTTTTTTTAAATCTTCATCTTGGTGTTGATACCAAAATACACATTGCTGAGGTCTGACTGTACAAACAGTTTTGACTGCACTCTAAACCTAAGCTGTGCTCCAAACCCATTCTTTTCTGGAGCAAAAATAGTTAGTCTTTACCCTTAGTGTCATGCAGACTATGTACTATGTCAAAAGCCCAAATGCCGTTCCCAAGCACCTTGTCAATGGCATACCATCTTTGTCCCTGAAGAACTCGACCAGATAACGGGCCTCGGTTTGTATCCCACGCTCCATTCCTTTATTGCCCATTCCCAGTTTTCGGAGAGCTCCAATTCCGAAATGTCTCTGATGTTTCCAGATGAGACCATTTGAGACCAGGATACCTTCAGCCATCAAGAATCAATTTTATGTCACGTTAATGTTCAAATAATAGTAAACGACATACACACTGAGAGTCATCTTCTCATCATGCTGCCACTCACGAAGAAGAGAGCCACGTCAGGGCAGGGTTCTTTTAATTGTATTTTGTTAGAGACAGAGAAACCACCTTGGTTAATATATTGCCACCCCTGCAAAAAGCCCACTCAAATCTCAGGACTCACACACCTGCCTTCCAAAACTAGTCCTATTCTTTCCGAAGCACCCAAGAACAGTGGTCATTACTCGAAACTCCACCCAGCAGCCTGCTACAAGTTGCGAAGGCAGTGAGGGTTGGTGCTGCCTTCTATTTGCCCGTGCTTTGAGCAGAAATGAATCTAAACCCTTATTCACATAGAAAGGCTTATAGCCCAGCTCAGGCAATCTCTTTCAAGATCTCATTTATTATCTTGTACAATCTTCTAATACAATTAACACTAACTCGTAAGCTATGTTTGCCAGCGTCCCCATATGGACATTGTGTTCTTGCAGATGTTGCCACAGGAGCGGCAAAGACAGCTTTCCTCAACAAACAGTAAGTTCAGGTTTCTACCGCCTGGAAATACGATGGTGTCTCTCACCAAGCTACTCATAGCCAACGGAGATTTCTGCGGAGCTCATTGGGGAGGTCTGGGCATTTCCTATGCTTGTGCTTCTTAACCTTATGCAAACCTTCTGGAGATCATCACATCTCCCTGTTGGTAGTGCTTCAAAAAGAAAAACCCTTTAATGGCTAGAGTTGGTAACTGGTTCTGGGCACATGTTGTCTGTGCTACACAGTCTCTGGCTTCTCGGGGATCCTGCTTTTACCAGGCTGTTTATACCAGATATCGAGCTCTCGTCCTGGTCCAGGTCCCTCCTGGAAAGACGATGAAGCCAGGGCAAGAACCACCTAGCAAGAACCAGAGTAGGAAGAGCAGGCTTTAGTCAATCTACAAACAGCTTCCTAGGACCAGAGGTCTCACTGTGGGACAGGAAGGAATCCCGAGCCCCTGTGCCGTGAGTCTGTGTTCTAGCAGACAGCCCAGCATAAACCATTTAATCCACGTGGTGGGGAATCACTTCCCTCCACCAGTCAAGCCCACACTTCCCCTGGGAAAGCCAGCTTGCTCCCCGAGACAGCTGCTTGACCACAGTCTGGAATAACTCTCCCCTATTCCTTCTGTTGTCCCGGGAGCCTGAGCTAGCAGAAAAGGAGCCAACCCAACAGGCAGGTATTTGTGTTGCTGAGAGTTGCCAACTTGCAGCTGTGCTGCAGCTGTTTGTTAAAGCCATCCCTGCTACAAATTGCTAGTGCTAGGGCAGCTTGTCACAGCCCAGCTGCTTTACTCCATGTCACCCAGATAAAAGGTGACAATAAAGACCCTTCCAAATGGAATGAAATGGCCCCAGACTTAATAATCTCTATTCCTTAGAGATGTTTTTCTCTCCTTACATTAGCTTGTATTATAAATTAAAGCTTTCCAGGTTGTAGTCCACATGCAGCAAAGCCTGACTGAGGATAAAGGCATCTGCTCTATATCCTCTGGATAAGAGGCTGGTGGAAACAAGTTCAATCATTTCTGTTCTAAATGCAGCACCCTCTTTATTCTCCATCCACCGTAATTCAGCAGTGTCTGATGTAAATGACAGCACAATAAGAAGCGCTGAACAAGGATATGTTGCACCTACAGTCTGGCTAATACATTTAAAGCTCCAGTGACCTTCCTGTGCCTTCAGACTTCCCAAAAGGCTAGACCTTGTTCAACAGCTCTGTACCTGCTTTCCTTACAGCAGCCTTTGCTGTAAACAAACGACTGCGAGCATAAAGAGTAACTTAGGCTCGGCCTGCAGAGGAGGCTGCAAGCTCCAGATTATTTCAAATCAGAACACACACTTAGACAACGCTACAAATAGACAAGCAAGACCTAGCTAGGTACAAATATTGCTGCTCTGATGAGATTCTGAAATACCTGTGTGACAGTGGGACTCTAGAGACAACTTAGAGTTATGCTGCAGAATTGTATCATTCACCCTGAGCAGACAGAACGGGTGAATTGGGAACTAAGGGCTTGTCAGTAAGGAAAACATGAGAGGAAACAAAGAAAGTCAAGGATGAAGTCCTTCTACAGATATGAACATCTTACCCTTTCCATTTGCCATTCTGTTGAAGACATGGGTCTGTAGTCGCCCGGAAACATCCTCTGAGTTGGTGGTGAGACCGTCCTTCACGGCTTGGAATCCATAGAGCACCACCATGGGTTTGTGACCCAGCCACAGGGTACAGATGTTGCCATAGATCTCTGCCAGCTGTAGGTTAGATCAATGCCAAAAAAATACCCATGGGAGAAACATCAACCAAAATGCACACAGGTTGGGCTGCTCTCTTCCAGCATGACATTACTCAGGGGTTCAGGAAGTGAAAAGGGACAGTGATTTTGTTTTGCAGTGAGAGTGCTTACCACAGTAAGGTTCTGGGCTCTTCCTGGGAACCCACTGTTCACAGCAATGTGAACGATAAAATAACAGATGCTCTTCCGCTTTCTAAAACTTGGCCTGGGTTGCCTTTGCAATATTAACGATTAGGAAAATGCCCCTGACCGAGTGTTTACAGATCCGTATTAGGTTTCACATGAAACTTCACCTGCCCATTCTCGATTACATTTTTCAACTCTGTATTTCATTTCCCCAGCCAACAACTAGAACTTCTTGAAATTACATATTCCAGGTGTAACTCTCCTTCTGGTACTGCAGATATCAAGTTTCAGTGGCAGGACCTCTTCCCCTCTTACACAAGTACTGTCAACTGAGGCATCTGAGCATAGATCCCACCTCTGCTTGGCCAGTGATGGGGACTGCTCTCAGGCAACCCTGTGGGTATTCAGCAAGGACGAAGTCCCTGACTCTAGGCAAAGAAACAGTACAGCTCTGTACTCCCACAGTGATGAACATGTACCCATCAGAAAAATTTAACATCGAGGTCTCTTAAGTTCCCTTTTCCTGAAGCTAACATTCTCCAGCTGCAGCCAGTCCAACCCCGACACGCAGGTTGCACTTAGCACCTAAGGAAAGGTTGTGACTTGAAAAATATATCAACACATTGGATTCTTTCGTGAAGTTTTGGCTCAGTGGAGGATGTTGAGCACTGAAAGAACCTGTATGAATATGCTTAGCATGACCTAATTCTTCCCATCAGTTCCTTCCTTTCACCATCATTTACATCCTTAGCTCACCTGCAAGGAGCAATTCCCAGACTGGACTTCAGAAAAACAATCGAGCTAAGGTTTTGGCTGCGTATGGGATACAATCTTGTTTCCATCCCATGATAGCAGAAGACATACTGGTGTGCTTTTCACATCTTCTGAATTCAAGACACCTTGTTTTAGAAGATGCGCCTGTGGTAGGAAATCTCAGAAACACTTTTTTCTTTCAAAGCAAAAAGCCTCCCTTAAAAACAGAAGTCTTTTCTGAGGGAAAATTACTGTCTTCAGTTCTGTTTAACTTGCACACATATTAGCTTTCACATGAATTAGACTCTCTGCAGATTTTACTTAACTTGTTTAGGCACTTAATTTAACTTCCATGATTCACCTTCCCTTAGGATTAAGTTCTCCCTGCCACCACATTAGCCTATCGACAGCCATCACTAGTTTTTACAGTTTTTGCCTCAATAGCTCTTTAGTTCACATCTGCAAATGCCTACCTTTTTCAGGCTCCTATGATCAGCTCTAAAATTTATCCGCCAGATGCTTCCAATGATGGGAAATGGGGTTGGTCCAGGAGGAAATCCACGACTTTTCCATTGCAATTTCAGGAACTGCGCACCCAGAAGAAACAAAACCAGGGAAATGAGAATTACACTTATCATCATTTCACACCTCCAAACTACTCTATCACTGAGAAAACTGCTATGAATCTGTCTGTTGAAATGACTCTATATTGTTTTTCTTAACTCTTCCCTGTCACATTTAAGCTTTCTGAATTTTTCTCCTCCCTTCTTTCCTACCACTCTTCCTGATCCCAGAAAATGAGGAGCGTTCCCATTCTTGAGTGTATTTAATACATCACTATGGTGCAATATGCTAATAGCTACCATCACTTTAAGATCCAGTAGAGGCTAGCAGGTGAGCACCTCATTCAGAAACATCCCTTTGAGCAATCAGTTTGATGGAACATGTCACTCAAAGCACTGACTACCTGCAAGCCAAGAGCTCAGATACGACTGTCATCCAGGCACTGTGTACACAGACAAGGACAGGAGCGCTCACCAAGTAGCATTCTCGGGGCAGGGGCAAAAGGAAGCAGTCAGTAGCCTTGTGTAAGAGTGGTTGCAAATGCAGATTTGGGAACCAAGAGCAAGGAAGTGTTGTAATCTGAGTTTTCACAGTAAACAATACAGATGAACTGCAAATGGCACAGTGAAGAATCAAACGTAGCTAGTACTAGTGACAAAAAGCATAACAGATCTCATATGCAAAGAAAGACCAAGTTCATCATATCTCAGGAGACACCACTGAACTTTCTCTGGAAAGATTCTGAAGATTCTGGTGGAATCAAAATCTTCTTCCACCCACCAAAGGCCTGGCTGCACCCCGATCCGCACTTTTCTGAGCTCCTCAGGTCTACACACCAGAGCTTACCACCCATGGCTGGCCTGCAAGCACAGTGCGCCTGGAAGAAGCCAGCCAAGTGCCTCTCCCAGCTCCCTACACTGCAGGGGATACTCAGGGAAGCAGACTGAGAAGGGCTACTTCAGACCCAGCGTGGCTGGACTGTGGATCAGCGTGCCCCAAGCACCATTTTCTCTTTTCCTCCAGCCCCTTACCATGACTGGTTTAAGACTAAACTCCAGTGCAACAAGGGAGCTAAGAAAATTACAGGATTTTACAAAGTTTGTTGTCAAGCTGTAATAATTCAGAGATGCAAATTAATTCCTAAATTTCCTCCAATTCCCTCTAACTAGCTGAGACACTTCACATGGCAAACTCCTTATCTGCCTATAATGGCGAACAAAGGTGGCACATGAAGCTGGTTTCCCTACAGCAGCTTATTCCCACATCCTAGCAAATGCTAATAGGTCAAAGAATCTCCCTCTGGTTTAACCCCAGAAGCCCCTGGCATTTTATTTCCTCAGCTGGGGCCCCTCTTCTGAACTCAGGGTAGGTTTTTCTAACATACCTCTATGTCACGTAATTACTAGAGACCACAGCCTAAAGGACAGACAGCTCAAGAAAGAGACTTTTAGCCTGGACATCGTTAGATCGCAGGAGCTGCCTTTTAACACAGCTTGCAGCAGCTTGCTGCCCAGCAGCACAACACACTCCACCTCACCCGCATATGTTTAGAGCAGCAGTTCCCAACAGTGGCTGCTCAGGGACTGGCAAGTATAAGGAGGAGCAAGTTTCAGACATTCTAGGAGAACACCAGAAATCCCGAGGAGAGGTTGCAGTGTGCTGTCTCAGGGGGTCTGTAACAATTTCAGGAGAACAAGTGCTCTTGTTCTCATTTTACAGGTGGAAAAATCCTGGTGGTGGGAGAGGAAGGATAGCATTGCCAGAGATACAGGTCTTCAGAACAACACAGATGTGGGTTCAACAACCCGATGGGCAGCAGTTTACCTTGTGCCCATAACTCCACCTGCAGCAGGAGTCCCGGCAAGGTAATCACACTGAACTCCTCTGCAAACACAACGGCCTTTGCTTTTGTTCTGCCAAAAGCAGACGACTGTCTCCTCCCACAAAGTACTGGAGGACAGGGAGCACAGGCCAACGCTCTTCAGGGATCACCATACTCCTAGATAAAAAAGCTCCGTTACTTGTTTGGAAGCACAGACTGCCAGCTCCGCTGGCTACTTTTCACGTCAGGTCTAGAGCTGGATGCCTCCTTCAGCAGCCAAGGTTTTCAAACTCCCTGTTGGGACCTAGTTCTTGTCCACTATGAGGCTTTATGCATTAGAGTTTCTGCCTTCTCTCAGTAGCAGGACTCCTGCTCAGCCAGAATTAATGCCAGAGTCTGTAATTCTTTGCTTTATTTTTAATTCACAGCACCTGAAGGAGCACATACAAAGACCTCCTCAACACAAGAAACGACAAACAGGAGCAGTTCTTAGATGATTTCTTGAGTGAAGCTAGTGGAATAGACTGTTCAGGATGTCGGTACCAGGCTGCCTCGTGAAGAACAGCACAGACCTTACAGGGATGGGGCTGCACAGTGCTCCCCAAAAGATATTATGTGTTGGCTTCTTTAACTCCATCAGGCAGGGTGAATCTAAATGCCTGCAAAAGGCTGCAGGAGATGAAGAGCTCCATGAGTGCCAACTGCTCACCCAAAAATATACGGAGCCCTGCAGAAAGGACCTGAAAGGGCAATTATTGATCTTAATTGCTGCCCTCCACCACGCCCCCCCTGCTGTCTTGCCCTGCACTTTCTCTGAGGCTCTTGCTACTCGTCAGAGCAGAGATGTCCCTGCGGGCTGTCATTCTCTCTCAAGATTTGCTGTCTAAACAAAACTCAACCCATCCTTGCAACTCCACTTGCATAATCCACTGGTGTTACTTATGAGCTGGCAGAAAGGACATCAGGCACGTTTTGAAAGATGGTTTCACATTTTATTCCCTCATCAGAGTTCTTCAGTAGCATTCAAGGTACCTGTCTCAACCCCTGTTGAGAAGGGTAAGACAACTTCTCTGGAGAAAAAAAACTTACTTCCTCATGCAGGAATTGACCGGGGTTGGACTCCAGAGGTTTCTTCCAGTGCTCAGGAATCAGTCAGGACAGTACATATTTGCAATAACCATACCGTCCTGCAAGAAAAGGAGGAGTTGGTCCGAGGCTGTCTCTTAACCTCTTTCCCTGGCAAAGTCATCCACACAGAGACACACAGAAAAAAACACAGGTTTTATTTACTGCACTGAGCAGAAGGCCATATACCGTATTGGCATAGCTGCTTTTCCTTGAATATTCCTTCTCCTCTTTGATTAGTAAACAAGATTGATAATCCCTTCCTGGTTTGCAAGCAGCACTGCAACTAAAGAACATGCTGGTTTTTTCCTTTCATCTTGAATTGCTGCCGGTCAGGCATCACAGGCAGTCGTGATACAAGATTTATAATGCAAAGGGACATACAATCAACAGCTTCATAAAAGTGTTCCGCTGTGTTCTACATACCCAGACACACACAATGACTGTAATTTGACAATGTTCGTTGCCACATCTGGAAGAATTTAAAAAGAAACACCTTGTCTGAAATCACTCACCACTTTCTAGTAACTTCTCAGTTCTGACCAGGTTTCCATTTCTGCAAACACAGCTAAGACTGCATGCTTTGGCCCTGTAGTTCAGTCCATGGAAGTTTTAGTTGCCTAACAGCTGGACATTTCCTACACCTACACTTTCGTATGGAGGGCATTATTTTCCTCATCCTGCATTTCTGTCCTGTTATGACAGCTGATTTTTTTTTTTTTTTTATCTGAAGGATTCATGGACACATTTAGCACTGCCAGCTTCTTCCTTCAGTCTTTAGTTCAATTAAGAAATGAGACAAGCAACCAGTATAATGAAAATTTTTCCTTCCAGGTTTTCCAAAATATTCTAAAGCACAACTTCCTTTTAAAAAAAAAAAAAAACAAACGCAAAAAAACACCCCCCCCA